TTCGTCGTCGCCGGACCTCAGGAGCCAGCACACCCCCTCGCTCCCTCTCACCAGACAAAAAGGTGCCAGAAGCCACGAGTCCGGATTACCAAGATGTGTTTCCACCTTCCCGTCGTGAGGCCCTGGCAGATTTCGGCAACAAGGTCTCCTCAAAGACTGGCGACCAATTGACTCGGACACCCGATGACTTTAAAGACAAGGCCATTCCCCTCGAAAAGTCCTACAAAGAGGGCTCTTCCACTCATTATACGCCTACTGGATTCTCTACGGATGAGATCAAAGCGCTTGGAGACTTCCCGGACTACGCGGCCCTCAGCGGTGTTCCATTGCCAGCCCCACATGAGACGTTCGATCTCGACAAGGCTGTCCCAAGGCCCTACAGGCCGTTGAGATGGGCATACCATCAGACCATGTGTAAGACATGATACGGTTTACTCTGGTACATTCATCCACTAACAACATCCAAGCTCTTACCAAGATGGAACCGGATTGGTGGCTCGAGCTCGACAAGAACTACGTCGACCGCATCAAGCAAAGAAAGGAACTTTTCCAGAAGCACGGCGATTGCGTCCTCGACATGCTTCCAGGATCAGAACTCGCCTGCAAAGAACTCATGGAAATGATCCTGCAATTCATCGCTGCCAGATATCCCAAGCACTTCGAGCTCGACCCGACCAGGCAGGTTTTCAGGAATCACATCTTGAACACGACGTCGGACCTGGCAAACGCGGAGCCTCTGCATATCATCCTCGACAACGTCCCCGAGGACTTTGCAATCATGCTCCGCGAACCAGACACGGGTCTGTACCGCTTCCGCGCCGGCATCATCTGCAGCTCGCTGGGCTGGAACCTCAAGTCTAAACTCGGCATGCTGCTCCACGAGATCCACGCTCCGATTCCAGACTACAAGGAGAAGATGCAATTCTCCATGGACAGGTTAGTCTAGAAATACACAAGCAATCACTTACCATCTTCACCCCTACTAACCTTACGATTTGCAGATACTTTGCGAAAAAGCCCACCGACAAGCCCATCCAGCGCGGCTCCTGGGGCCTCGAAATCGACGCTCCCCTCTACATGCCCCCCGGCGACCCGCACGAAGTCCACCGCTCTTCCCAACACGCGGACCTCGCCCTCGATCGTTGCAACCTGCGCGTCGACTGGCAAACCCTCCGCCGTCTTCCGCTGTCCGCAGGCATCGTCTTCAACTTCAAAGCGCTCTTCACGCCCGTCGAGGAGTTCAGGGATGAAGCGTATATCCCCAGTCTGCTGCTCAAGGTGCTCAAGGACGGCAAGAAGAGCATGATGGAGTACAAGAGCACCTGGCATGTGGAGCATGTGGTCATACCAGCGCTAGAGGCTTGGGAGGAGGAGCAGATCGAGAGCGGCGTGATAGAGAAGGACTGGGAACCGCATACGCTGGCTGAGAGTCCGTTCTTCCCTGGATGGAAGGAAAAGTGGGATAGAGTTCAGGGATTTTAGATGTCTGAGATGGCCACGGGGTAGATGAATTCTGCTGGTGATTACGGTGATGACGAGGGACGATTATATAACTTACGACGGGGCGGCCTCTTGCGTGCGTACTGGACGGCGGTAGGAACAACTGCATTTTGCATATCAACAGACGGGCTCGATCTGATGTTGCTGGATAGCGTAGGAGCTTGGAGCTTAGAGCTCGGTTGAAGAGGAGACACAAAATAGCGGGGCGTCTCTTCCTTTTACTTGTCATTTCTCCGTCATCAGCCGCATAGGCTCTTTATAGATGCCCTATGTCATCAGTCAATGGACTTGTTCCCAGTTGTTCTCTGTTCTCGAATGTGAAAGCTTGAACACAATGAAAACAACACGGCCATAATTCCGCATCTAAGCATGGGGAGACTGAGGTGTGGGGAAGGAAGACGCCACAGCGATCCAAGACATTCAGCCGCGGGGTTAAGGTTCCAAGGGTGGTTTCAAGGTTGGCTTGGAGGAGTGTGGGGTAACGTCGACTAACCTTTTCCACCCAATCAACTTCCAACTGGCACTCTCCTAGTCGCTTAGTCACAAGTTTGACTCTCCACATTTCGTCCGGGTCTGGGGAAGTCAGACCATGGAGTTCTCCTCCGTCGCACCGGCTATCACGTCGATGTCGGTATAACCTGGTAACCTGGTATGTTAGGTGGGTATTATAATCGGACAGGATCCTGGGAGGGGGAAAGCCGAAGAACTCGAGATTCGGATACTCGGAGTAGCGCGTGCGACCAGCTTCTACAAGCTACCTCGACTTGACGTTTCGCTACTAGAATCTCATCTCATCTCTTCTCTTCTTGCTTTCTATAAGTGCGAAGCTTGTTTCTGTCTTGTATTACTACTTACTCTCCTGTCACCTCCTGCAATTGATTGTATATCGCAGAAGATGGCGCACACGAAACCGTGGCCCGAAGTCCCCGTTGGGAATAAGGATCATACAAACGCAGCGGTTGTGATCATCGGGGGTGGCATTTCGGGCATCTGTACCGCGATTGGTCTGATCAAGAGGAACAACTGCCAGAACTTTGTGATTCTGGAGAAGAGTGGAGGCATTGGAGGAACGTGGCATGACAACAAGGTTCGTTGAAACAATCCTAGGACGCTCCAGAAATACCAAGCTGACTGACGCGCTCGTAGTACCCGGGCTGTTGCTGCGATGGTTAGCAAATTCCTTCAATTGGTATACACGATTCGACTGACCTAGAGTAGTCTGGAGCGTGCTGTACAGCTTCTCCTTCGAGCAAAACCCAGATTGGACGAGAGAGTATCCTGGCCAGGAAGAGATTCTCGTAAGACAAACATGCTCCTATGAAAAGACCTCCTCCTGACTTCAAATCTAGGAATACCTGCGTCGCGTGGTCGAAAAGTACAGCCTCTACAAGCACATTCGCTTCAACACGTCCGTGGAGGAGGCCAAGTGGGACGACGACGAGAAAAAATGGAGTACAACAGTGAAAGTGCTAGGCGGGAAGGACAGCGAATTCAGCGAGGGCTACACCATCAAGTCGGACTACCTCGTTTCCGCCGTCGGCCAGCTGAATGTCCCAAGATACCCGGATATCAAGGGGTTGGATACTTTTCAGGGAAAGAAGATGCATTCTGCGCGATGGGACTGGAGCTATGGACTTGAGGGGAAGAGAATCGCCGTGATTGGAAATGGTATAAAAGTTCTTGGGAAGATTCGGCATAAACACGTACTGACGACCAAGCAGGCGCGACGGCAGCGCAGATAGTGCCGGAGATTGCAAAAGTCGCTTCTCAGGTCACGATATACCAGAGATCGCCAAACTGGATCATCCCTCGAGATGACAAGCCCGTCGGACCTCTCAAGCGAGCTTTGTTCCGCTATGTGCCGCCCTTACGTTGGCGGACTCGGCAAAAGTCGATGGATTTCCGGGAGGGTTTCTTCGATGCCATCTTCGACGGTAAGACATAAAGTCAGCGTCAGAATATGCTTCGGCTAACTCCTATAGGTGAATCGGCGCTGGCTGACCTCATGAGGACTGCCTGTATACAATCAATGCACGCTGCGTTACCTGACCAGCCAGAGATGTGGAAGAAACTTACTCCGGACTATCATCCGGGCTGCAAGCGGATTCTCATCACAGACGACTACTATCCTGCCCTTGCAAAGCCACATGTGGACCTGGAGACGCGGAAGATTGTCCAGGTCGTGGAGAACGGCATCGAGGTGGAAGACGGCGGTTATCAAGAGTTCGACATGATCGTGCTTGCTACCGGCTTCCGCACTGTCGAGTTCATGTACCCGATCAACATCGTCGGCGCAAAGGGTCGATCGATCCAAGATATCTGGCAAGGAGGAGCCCAAGCCTACAACGCCGTCACCGTCGAGGACCTGCCCAACTTTGGAATGTTGTACGGTCCCAATTCAAACCTGGGCCACAACAGCATCATCCTGATGATCGAGGCCCAAAGCAGGTACATCAACACCATGATCGGCGCAGTCCTTGACGCGAAGCGGAAGGGCAGGGTCTTGTCCTTGAAGCCGAAGCCCGAAGTTGTCTCGGCTTACAATGAGAAGGTGCAGGAGAAGCTCAGCAAGAGCTCGTTTGCGGATCCGAACTGCAACAGCTGGTACAAGAACAAGGAGGGGAGGATCACGAACAACTGGTCTGGAACGGTGGTGGAGTACCAGGAACAGCTTTCCAAGGTGAATTGGAGCGATTACATCGCTGAGGGGTCATATGCCAATGCCATCATGTCGAGGAAGCCTGCGAATATCGGGCGCGTGGTTGAAGAGACGACGGTGCCGGATATCGTGATGGCGTTGAGTGCGGTCACTGTGGCAGCTGCTGTAGGAGGATATTTGTTACGGAACCACAATGCTTTGAGGCCGTTGGTAGCTCGATAGTAGGTAGTTGTTTCTCCTGTCAGATTAGCTTGGAAATATCAGCTCTTAATACAAGCCAAAATGGGAATCTCCAGTATTGGCATTGTAGGAGTGACCCTTTTCTCGGAACTGCGGCCTTTTCACGTTCAATATCTTACTCCCTCCATTTGGGTCTTCGTCTTTTGTATGTTTGATAAGCCAATATCACTGCTAAGCTTCAACGCTCTACAGAGTGGTTTGCATTATTTTTTCACCCTTTAGTACGAGTCTGAAGCACACCGTACTCAGGGGCCTTTACACGACCCCCTACTTCTGTCGGAGGCCGTCTAGTCTGTGTTGGATGAGACCTCAAGCACCTACTTATGAATGTAGATCCGAATTCTGCTATGAGTAGGAGGTGAAGACGGTGGAAAACCTCGATAGATTGTGGTTGAAAAAGAAATGTGAGAGATGACGGCCGTTGACTTTTCCGCCAGTCGAGGCTTCCACCCCCTCCTACCTGCCAAGAATTTCCGCGGGAAGCTCTTTTCGCTCGGCTCACTCTTCCAACGAGGCCAAATGCAAGCAGTTCTGTTGGATAAAAACAAGACGAGTTGATGAGGAGGCAGCAAAAAGAAAAAAAATCCTAGAGGATGGGAATTGAACCCGACCCGGATTGAACGGATAACCTTCTGGAACCTCCATGACACTGGAATCAGATGCGCTACCATTGCGCCACGGGTCCAATTTTTGGGTTTTACATATTTAGACAGTTTATATTGCCTGTAATGCGTCACATTTCTCCGCGGGGTAACACGCTTCCCTACTTGAGTCTTCCCAATTAGCCCCTCCTTTCACGAACACCTCCTTCAACAACCCATCAATCATCCTTGATAGTATTTTCTCACTTGCTGCTTATAATGTCAATCTCCCTAATCCTGTTTTACTCTAGGTAGCTCTTGATTTGCGACGCTGGAACCGGACGGAATAAGAGGTCTTTGAGTCCAAGTTCAACGGCCAACCGCTACGGGAAGCCGTCACAACCCTCCTTTTCTCTGTCACAACCGCTCCTTCAGTCTAGGACTATTCACATTTTTACCTTGCTATCCACATTCCATGTGTTGCGCTTGCTTTTTCCCTTGGCGGTGGGCGACTGACACTGGCATTTCTAACACGCATTTTCCTCGTATCTCCAAGTCCTTCGTCATCGACCACGATGCACGACAGTATTCCATCCCAGCTATCCAGGACCGAGCCATTGAGACTGGAGATCTTACCACCCGTATTTCTCATTACAACCCATCTACCAGAAGAAGACGTCCACGAGGTTGAAGACCAACTAACGGAGCTGGGAGCCTCTCTCACATACGATGCACATGAGGCCAAGCTGTTCATTGGCAGAATCGGCACGAAGCGCCGAGCCGAGTTTGAACTTCGATGCCAGAAATTGTGGACCGAAGAGGTCTCTCAGATTCCAGATCAGCTAGTCGGGGGGAGGAAGAGCACCGCTGAAGCAGAACCACCGCGGAAACGCCAGCGCGTTGACAAGAATGTAGACAAACGGGACTTGAAAGCCAGCAAAGTAGCCGATGAAGGCTCGGAAACCGAATCTGACCCGGGAATGGCAAGCACCGAGTCTGAGACCGCTTCAGAGACTCAATCAGAGACTGCTTCGGAGGGCCCTCTTAGATCAAAAGTGCCTGAGAAACAGCCTCTCATGCCAGAGAAAGCGCCGTTGGATTATCTTAAAGATTCTCCCCTCATCAGGGTCGTAAGGCTTGACTGGCTTGATGATATGATAAAGAAGAACAAACTTCTTCCTATAGATGAATACCTCATCTACCAAGGCAAAACAATCCCTCGTCCCGCACCAGCAACATCGTCCCCACCACCGAAGCAGCCTTTCCTACACTCAGCCGGCAGAGTCCAACCAGCATCCCAACGCGTCCTCGCCGACCGCCCGCAAACGATCCTACAGCGTGCAAAAGCCGATGCCACCGGCCACCCCACCTTCGCGGCGAAATCAAGCCGTAACCCCTTTGCAAGACACAACCTCGAATCCACCCGCGACATCCACCCGTCCTCTTCCAAGCGCAAAGCTCATCTGCTGCAACAAACCACCTCCGAATACGAAGACACCATCGGTTCCGACCAAGACATCCCACCCGCTCCTGCTTGGGTCAAAAACCAATTGAGATACGCCTGTCAACGCGCAACTCCCGCAAACCCCCCAAACGACCCCTTCATCTCGGAGCTCAAGAAGATCCGCCTCGCGCGCACTCTCACGGGCGACGAAATCGGCGTCCGCGCATACAGCTCCAGCATTGCGGCGCTGGCAGCGTACCCCTACCCCCTCAGCTCCGCCCGCGAACTCCTCACCCTCCCCGGCTGCGACGTCAAAATCGCAAACCTGTGGATCGAGTGGACGAACACTCGCGCCGTCCAGGAAGCCAACCTCGTAGAGTCGGACGAGGAAGTCAAAATCCTCAAGCTCTTCTACGACGTCTGGGGCGTCGGGGCTACGACCGCGCGGGATTTCTATAGGAAGGGCTGGCGTGAATTGGACGACGTGATCGAGTATGGTTGGAAGAGTCTGAGCAGGGTCCAGCAGATCGGAGTCAAGTTCTACGAGGAGTTCCTGACTCCGATTCCGCGCAAGGAATGCGAAGAGATTGCCGCGGTGATCCGGCGGCATGCGGTACGTGTCCGCGATGAGGGGATAGAAGTCTGCATCGTGGGTGGATATCGGCGTGGGAACAAAGAAGCGGGCGATGTCGACGTCGTCGTGTCGCATCGGCGAATGGAGGGCACGGCGAACTTGGTCAAGGATATCGTCGACTCGTTGGAGGAGGAAGGTTGGATCACACATACATTGCTTCTCTCTCTTGCTGCGACCGAGCGAGGGCAGTCGACCCTTCCATTCCGTGCGTCGGGACCGGCGTCAGGAACTGGGTTCGATACCTTGGATAAAGCGCTCGTCGTCTGGCAGGATCCAGGATGGCCCTCGAAAACCGCGGATCTGGACCGGAACCCCAAGGCTAAGAATCCGAATATACACAGGAGGGTGGATATTATTGTGAGCCCATGGCGTACGGTGGGATGCGCCGTATGTGGATGGAGCGGAGGAAATACCTTCCAGCGCGACTTGAGGAGATTTGCGAAGCACGCCAAAAATTGGAAATTCGACTCCAGTGGGATCAGAGACAGACATAGCGGTGCGGTGCTGGAATTGGAAGGCCCGGAAGGTGTCGATGGAAGTGTACAGGATGCGGAAAAGGCGGTATTCAAGGGGCTCGGGCTGGAGTACAGGGAGCCATGGGAAAGGTGTACAGGATAAGGGATGATGCACACGAATAACCGACTAATGCTTGGTTTGAATACAACAAAGTGTTTTGGCTGTAGGATCATTTACTGTTGGATAAGAAAATGCCACTGGCAAAGCTTATGAAAGAACGCTGATCACTGAGCACAGTGTTTTCTGTCTGCTGACTCTGTGTTCCCGCCCAACAGCTGCCGAGCATACCGTGCAACGTTTTCGCAGAGGAGCAAGAACAAGCAAGACTAAAAAAAGTGAAAGCGAATAACGGTATGAAAATTTAAAAACCCGCTGCCTAGCGTTGGTCTGGTATCTCAACAATGATGAAGGTGTAAAACTCGAAAGAGGAGTGAAACAAGTTTGAAAAAGGAGAAATTAGAAACCACCACAACGAAGGAAGGCCGACTGTCGAGACGTGAAACAACAGTCTCGACTTCATGGAAACCCCACAACTCCTGTAACCACACACTTCGTTAACACGAACGTAATTATACAGCCCCATTTCCCCATGAAGTAACCGTTCCGGCCTGTCCTTTCCCGCTGTTACCCAAACCGATCTCCGTATCCAAGTTGATGTTTTGAAGACAGGGTCCTTGCCCAAACTAGCTGCTGCTCGGAAATACTTCGTCAAACACGTCCATGTTCCTCGTTTTCAAGCCTCCTTGGACCTGGATCCCCTCTTTGATCCATTCTAGTGCGGCGGCGTCGTCAAGAGTCAAGCGTCCTCGTTTCTTCAGCAAGCCTCCCACTAGAGTGCGGGCGCCCTCCCAGCCGGCCCCCTTCATCGGATCCCATTCGCCATCGTCATCGCCAAAACGGCTCCAGCCCCAGTCACACCGTGCTATGCGATGAACCAATCTCGTGCGGACCCTCTGCCCCGGCATTGGATCAAATGGTAAGCGTCCTTCCATCAAACCATACAGTAAGACGCCCAACGCCCAAGCATCCGTCTCGCGACCGTCGTAAGGCTGGGCAAGGAGTATCTCCGGGGCGGTATAATCTTCACTCCCGCAGCGAGTGGTAAGCAAAGGAGATGCTGGTGGTTCAGGGATGTACCGGCTCAGGCCGAAGTCCGCTAATGTGATAAGTGGATACTCATACATGGCCAAGTTGTTCCAGGTAGGAACCTTCTCGCAAGGGATATTAAGAAGGACATTCTCGAGTTTGATATCGCGGTGAACAATGAGTTTCTTGTGGAGGTAGCGGATCGCATCAACGAGTTCTGCCGCAATACGCTGGATGACTCTCGGTGTGATGGTGGTTTGATGTTTAAGCCCAACATCAAGCAGGTCGCCTCCAGGGCAATAGCCGAGGACGAGTAGAGCCTGATTGTCATCGCAACCGAACGCTTTCAGATGGGCAAGAGAAGGGTGGCTGATAGAGCGGAGTATATCAACTTCGCGCTTGAGGGACGACTCTACTCGGGCTTCGTCTGCTCCTCCGGCGGGGCCATGTTCGACAATCTTGATGGCGACAAGGGAGTTCTGATCGAGAGAAGACTCCACGGGCTCTGTGTCGGGGGGAATGGAATCGCTTGTGGCGAGCATCACCTTGCTGAATGTCCCTTGTCCAAGTGGGCGCAATGGGCGGTAACGCAGCTTCTTGTTCGTTTTGTCGTCGCGAAGGGTGATGTGAGTAGCTCCAGTGTCGACCTCGCGGGCTTCTTCTGCAGCTTCACTCTCAGTCACACTGCGATTACTAGGAGGCGGGGTGGGGAGGGCTGCTGTGGAGTTGGATGGTGTTGCTTGGGTTAGACCGCGCTGAGCGGCAAGATAGTGTTCGCGGTGCAAGTTGGTGTCTCTCGATCTCTCCCCAATGATTGTAGGCGGGGCAACAGCGGAGTATGTGACATGTCGAGGACGAGTGTTGTGCAATGCCTCGGGCACAAACTCACTCAAGCTCCGATTGCGACTGTGACTCCGCTCGCCTTGTTGTTTCCGCGAGTGCATCGAGCTCGCCTCCACCCCTGATGACAAAAGACCGCCGTATCCCTTCTTGCTCTTCTTCGGACTCGAACCTTGCTGGCCCCGAATGAACAACCCCTCCTCTTTTGAAGAACTGGATGATTCGGTCGCAAATGGATTTTCGGAGGCGGCGCGTCTCCACGGGCCGGGCGAGTCTTGGTGGGTAAGAGGCGAGGGGAGCGGCGTGATGTCGGGCATTGCTCCCAGACCTGGCGACCCAAGCGCAGAGCCTGGTGACAGTGAGCTTGCTAGGCTCGCTGTCGACCACGCAGACTTGAGGCCGCCAGGTCGTGAGAGGAGAGAGGGCAGAGACTCACTCGCTGCTTGTCCAATGGGGTCGCTCTCGGTGGTGGAGGGGGGGTTGGTCATGTCTTTCGACGCAGCGGAGGGAAGGTTGGTGTGGACGTGGAGGCCGGCGGCGCTTATTGGGGATCTGGTCGGGGTTTTCGAGGTCGGGGTGGGGAT